AACAAAACTATCGAAAATGTGCCATACATTAGTTTTAACACATTAAATATGTACTGACTGACCGTGTCCAACAAGTGTCTCGAAACCAGCAATTAAATAAACTATAGAAGTTTCTCACAACGATAAAAAGTGATTTGCATTTTATGTATATAATGTATTTATTTTGCTTTTCATAAAAGCACATCTTTTTCTCGCTTTACAGAAATTCTGATATCTGATCTCGTGTTTCAGTATTCACGAAGTTCAAAAACGTCACAAGATTAAACAAAAGTTTACCTGGTAAATCATGAACCTAGAACGTCTCATATTTGCCCTATATACTTTGTGATCTTTCTTTTTCTAGAAGAGTTGTTCAAATGAATGACCATATTATATTTTAAAGAATTAAGTACAGTGTAAGGACCTTGTATTTTGTATATTTTGCGCTCTGTATGTTGATATTTTAATGTTAAAGACAAAATGTCATACCAAAGGTAAAAATTGTTAGCTAAGTAAGCATAAATAAAAAGCTAATTTATTAATATTAATTGTTATTTATTTCTCGGAACATCACCTACACGTTATCTCTAGTACTTGTTATGGTGTTGAAACAAAAGTTTGCTATTGCTATAGCAAAAGCTACTGTTTTTCTTGACATACTGAACAACAAATCAAACAATATGGAAAATGATTAATAGAGTATGGAAAAAATAAAAAAGATACAGCCGGTTATATAAGTAAATATTCTAGGAAAAATAACTCGCTAAACATCGAGAATTACGGGTTAGGTGTAACTATTGCCGATTCAAGTCTTAGCATATGCTGATGACATTGACATAATAGGGCGTAGCAAGCGAAATGTTGAGCAATATCTCCTAGAATTGGAAACAGCGGCGAAACAGGTCGGTTTGTCATCAACGAAGACAAAACCAAGTACATGTTGGTTACAAAGAATCCGATAGCAAATGAAGAACGAGAAACAGTCCTTTGGAAGTCATACCTTTGGACGTGTTGACAACTTCACATACCTTGGTCGCTATTGACTGCTACCAATAAAACAAGCGAAGAAATCAAAAGACGAATAAATCTTAAAGATAGGGCATACTATGGACTCCAAAAGCATTTCCACTCAAGAAACATTCAAAGAAGAATTAAAATTATTATATACAAAACATTGCTGAGGCCGGTCCTCACATATGGAGCAGAAACATGGACTCTAACGCAGAAAAATGAAAAACTTTTGAGAATATTTGAGCGTAAAATACTCCGCAAAATATTTGGAGCTATAAACGACCAAGGGCAGTGGCGCAGAAGATATAATTTTGAATTGTATCAGCTCTTTGATGAGCCAGATGGCATAACGTTCATTAAAACACAGCGACTTGATGGGCTGGACACATAATACGAATGCCAGAAAATACGATTGCTAAAAAGCTAACCATAGAACACCTGTAGAAGAAGAAGCAAAGGCCGACCGCGAATTAGTTGGTTAGATAGAGTTGAAACCGACTTAAGGATATTAATAATCAGAAGATGGCAACATGTTGCCAGAAACCGAACAGAATGGCGACGAATCTTAGAGCAGTCCAAGATCCACAGAGGATTGTCGAGCCAAAGATGATGATGTAACTATTGCCTGCGTGGATTTACAATGACTTGCAAGAATAATCGAAAGCTGTGTTCCTATTTCACAGGAGACTGTAGGATTTAAATGCAATCATCATTTCCTTTGCCTTACATGTGGGGTGGGTCGTCCAAAAAATAAATAACGAGTGGCTGCGATCACCCACCGCCGAGATTTTGTGCGCGTCTGTCTGTCGCATCGGTGTGAGCCAAGTCTCGTTACTGTGTGGTCCGCGTCTTTGTTCTATAACATTTTGAAATGGCCCATTAAGAAACCCGCCAAATATGAAGTACGCAGTGTGATTCGGGTTTTAAATCCTCTTCTTCTTCAAGTGCCATCTCAGCGGCGGAGGTCTACAATCATCATAGCTATTCTGACTTTTTAGACGGCTGCTCTGAAAAGTTCGTTTGATGTACATCCGTACCACTTTCGCAGGTTGCGCAGCCATGACATTCTACGCCTCCCTATGCTTTTCTTTCCTTGGATCTTTCCCTGCATAATCAAGCGGAGCAAGATGTATTTCTCTCCACGTGTAGTATGTCCGAGATATTCCAATTTTCTTGTTTTAATTGTATTTAAAATGTCTATCTCTTTATCGTGCCAGTTCTTATACTTTCTTATGTAGATTAAACAGATCATATTTATTTTGAAGGTCTTCGATCTCTTTGCATTTCTCTACAAAGTATGTTTCTTTTGCCTGCTTTATCATCTTTCTGATTTCGTGGTTTATCTCTTTGTATTTATTGTTGTATTTGTTTTTAAATTGTCTCTGTTGTTCCTTCATATTGAATATCTCATTAAAGCCGTTATTAGTTTATAAAACCATGATGATTGTACTAGGGATAACCATGGGGATCTTTAATGTAGTGGTTTCCCCTTGCCTTCCACATTCTTATGCCGTTGGCCAAGATATTGGTTCCTCCACCTTCAGACCGATTTCTCAACCCTAGTACAAAAAGGGTGCCCTACCACCTACCAATTCTTCAGCCCAGAGCCGTTGATTAGCAAGTGTGGAATTGCTTATACCGGCAATCGATCGGTGACATTTTCGCCATATCTGCTACCCTCACTTAGTTTAGCCTGCAGACCAATGCAGTTGTTCGGGGTGTGGCACTTGGGACCATAAGTGAGAGTTAGGTGTCTTATGAAGACCAATTATCAAGAACCATCCCCCGTCTATGACGCTGATGTTTCGTTCCGATAAAAGGTGCTACCTCTATAACACAACCCTACACCCCACACAGGGTTTTAAATATAAGGGTTTAATTCACGTCTGTCTATTTAGAGGATAAATACCCAACTTTCAGAATCCGTTTACTGCTATCTCAGCATTTTAGATACGCTCCACACATAAGACAAAATATTTGCGCAAAGATATTATATTGCCCTTTGGATTATGTCGTCATGGTTGTATTTCCTAAGAGTAATATGTTTTGAAAAAGTAACATAAATGCTAAATCCAAAGGCTGCAACCTATAGGAACTATGAGGAGGAAAGCAGATAATCGTCAAATGATTAGAACGAGCTGTTTCAATCAGTTCAAGATTTCTTGTATGGCTGTAGTGTCCATCCAAAACAAGCACTACAGGATCATCTTCGGTTGGTTTCACATGCTAAATAAAATGTTAAATCTAATGTGTGAATATAAGTTGTTGAATGCAGCCTGATGGATGACACGCTTTTATGGATCCGGGAGGAGGACCATCTAACAATTCCAACAAAAAGCAGACTACTTAACTTCCCTTTATGTATAATTTAAACAAGGTAAGATGAAAAATAACGTTGTAAACACAATTAAAATACAATGTTTTAGAAAAGTCTACTCGACCGTTTCAAGACTGTCGAACTTAACAACGAAATGCACCTAATGAGCCTCTTTCCGAAAACTCCCCTCATCTACCTTAGCCACCTAGAAAGAGCTATCACATCGACACTTCGACTTCTCAGGAATCAACTCGTCCAAGTACATCGAAATCTGGTCAAGCTAAGAACGGTACATCTAGACAATGTCGTGCTTTGGAGTTGACAAGGAACAGTGATACTGAAACCTTAGATTTAAGTAACATGGAAACATCTAACAAAGAAAAAAGTGACACCGAGAGCATAATTATCATGGAAGAAAAGAATGATACTTTATTTTCTGATTACTCCAGATATGGAAAACAAATCTGGACGACTAAAAAGGAAAGCAGCCCTCGATAGTAGAGCGCAAGTTGTGACAAGGGACTTATTTGCCACCAATAAGATCTATAGCTCCCATAAGAAACCAACTTACCCAAAGCATGCCAGAAAGGTTCTTCAAATAAGTAGGGAACTGATTCTGCGACGCCTGTAAGAGAGCATAATTATCATGGAAGAAAAGAATGATTACCTTTATGATTTCTGATTACTTCCAGATATGGAAACAAATCTGGACGACTAAAAAGGAAAGCAGCCCTCGATAGTAGAGCGCTAGTTGTGACAAGGACTTATTTGCCCACCAATAAATCAATAGCTCCCATAAGAAACCAACTTACCCAAAGCATGCCAGCAATGTTCTTCAAATAAGTAGGAGAACTGGTTCTGCAACGCCTGTATAGAGTGCATGAATATTGTTTTTGGCAAAATAAATCTATTTTTTGAATATTTATGTTCATTTGCAAGTTCATATTGCATCCGAAATGTTAGCGAAATTAACAAAGAATATAGAGGCATGCATCTATATTGTTTGATATTACCAACAGGAGGTTGGAAATATCACTATTGACAGTTTTTCGTAAAGTGTTTTGTAACTTCTACAAAAATGGTAGTTATTATTTTATAATTTTCAACTACTCTTACTTAGTTGATTGAATATTCCATGTGGTACCATATCGTTCAATATGTCCCATTATCATTCTAAAAACTTCTCAACCTTAACTTGGCGATATTACCTTCACTTACCTTACATTATTATGCTACCTATTCAAAACTTTAGAATAAATAAATATATATAAACTATGTCAAGGACGAAGTTATGGAGAATAATACGACCTAATATATGATCACTAAATAAAGTTATTTTGCGTATTGTATTTAATTATTTAAATTATAAATGTTTCACAAGGTAAGATTCGAACCCGGATCTTCGTCACGTCTGGGAAGAATCCTGTCTGATGATTAACCACCAAGGAACATAATATAAACCAAATAAATTAAATTTAAAGTAAAAGAAAAAGAAATACACAAATTAATAAAATAAATAATCGTGACTCGTTACATAAAGAGTACGAGACCTTCGTGAAACTGTTTACGCAATAAACAGAAATACGAACTTGACATTGACGTACACTTATTGCACATTAGGGAAAGAATTTTTGTAAGAATCTGGAATTATTAAAAAACTGTATTTCCTAAAGTTTGAAATAAATAAAGTTGTATGCCAAAAACTAAAATGCCTAGGCGAGCACAACCAAAAAAAGATGGTCCTGAATCAGGAGAGGATTCGGACGAGTACAGAAAACGAAGAGATCGAAATAATCTGGTATGTTCACAACAAAACTTATTTTTATTGAATAAATTAACTTAGAATGTTTGTTTTTGAAGGCTGTAAAACGCAGTAGGGTAAAATCGAAGCAAAAAACGCAAGAGACATTAAATAGGGTAACAGAACTCAGAAATGAGAACACTGTACTAGAAGAAAAAGTAAAGACTCTGACTAAGGAACTAGGCTTTCTCAAAGAATTGTTTCTTGCACATGCATCAAACAGTGCCGATAAAAATAAATTTGAAGGTGTAGATTTAAACAAACTCCTGCAGGAACCAGCAGATGAATCTACATCTTCGGGAAATAATACTTAGTAGGGTGATACTTTATATGTAAAAAAATGTAAGATATAGCTGTATTTCTGTATACTCATTATGCTTTGTATATAGCAAAGTTTAAACTTTAAACTGTCTTTATTACAATTATTTTCGAAAAATTTTAAATAAACACTACTTCTTAATTCACAAGCTTTTGCAAATTAGAGTATAAAAAGAACTATTAATACTGCCAGTGCAATGAATGTCATTGTAGCATTGTAGATTACTTTTCTGTAAAGTAAGTTAATAGGTTACATGGCAGTGACTTAGTAGTCAAACATCTTACCTTTTGAGATAATAATTATCAATAGCAATTTTGTATATTTATCTTCTATTTTTTCTTTTCTCATATCTAGAACTTTACTGAATTATGTACATATGATAAATTAATATATTTACTCGAAAGCACTGTTGTTAAATTTTATTAAATTACTTTTTGTTTTATTTACTGCTAGTTTCATATGAATTGTATAAAAAGTAATTTAAAACTGTGAATTAAGAAATTATTTAAGCGTTTTTAAAACTATTTGTCAAACAAATAGTACTTTTTATATATTATAGTAGTTATAGAGATTGGTAAAAATGTATTATATAACACTAGTGTAACCAACACAGAAATCAATATAGCTCATACGTAATAACTCACAAAAAATTATACTGATATAATAATTTGAACTTTTATGGCTGTTATATTTAGTCTTAGTAATTTTTAGATAATGTAGCCTTTTGTAATTTGATCGTTTGAAAAGCATGTTAATTTTTATTCATCAAATCCTGTTTGTCAAAACATAGGTTAACCTGTCAACTGGCTAAATAACAGATTCACCTTTGTTGCCACATTGTCTCACGTTTTCCTTGTATGTACATAAATAACTCAAATTAATAATACATATGATTTATTAAATAGAAATTTTTAACTTTTAACTTAATCGAAAAATTTTAGTAAAACTAGGAATGAAACATTTGTTATAATTTTTGTTTCCAAAATTGACATTTTTTGACATTTCTAAGTGATTTAAAACTGGCAGAATTTGGAGCTATTTGTGGTGTTTGTATTGATTGTAAAGTAAACAGTAAGATAATTGTTTTGGGAGCAAGAGGAGTCTTAGAAATACTATATAATGCAATATAATGTTGATTTAATGTTCTCAATTATAATGAATCAATCAAGCTATATCGCAATCATCGAGCAAAAAGATAAAAGAGGGAATGTAAAGGTAGTGGGGACAAAAATATTGTTAGACAGGAAGTGCTATCTTGAGAGGCCACTTTAAACAAGGATAGACAGTCTCTTTTCTTGTTTAAGAAGTCAAATTAAGTTTGGTTATGTTATTGTTTGTCCCAACTGTCACATGAAATTTTATTTTATATTGAAGTTTTTTACCAATTGTGTCACTTTTTAGACTATTATCGTTAATATTTAATTAAAACTTTCTTGTCTGAAAAATATTTTACAGCTATTGTTAACAAGTGTTGGAAAATTTAAATTTAGCGCCTTTGCATTTCCGGATATGCCCGCCATCAGAGGCCACTTTTTTGGTCTCCTTTTCATAATGATTAGATTCCCTCTTTTATCTTTTTGCTCGATGATCGCAATCCTGTAAATAAAACATGTTATCAATATTTAGTAGTACCTATTTCATTCATTTAAGTTTGTTATTTTTATATGTTACAATTTAAAATTTGTTTTTCTGTGATTGTCTTTACTTTTGATATCTTTTTTTAGTTATTTAAATAATTAATTCTAAGTTTATTTATAATTTAATTAATCAGATACTACTACTTTTTATTTACCAAGAATTATTTCTGTTATAATTTTGAAATCTTTTGTCAAAATTTTGTAAATTCCTTCCAGTGGCTTTATGCCTACTTCTGGCATAGGCTACTCCTAGGCCAATTACTCTCAATGGTTGGCATGTTGCCTCAACTTTTCATGAAGTTTAAAAAATTTAATATTTAACAAAAACTTAACAATCACTGAATTGTTAGTACCAGGAAATTGTAATGATTTTCATTGCATCTAGGAAGTCTACTCTAGAGTATCAGACCTTGGTTTATAACTTTATAATGCTTTATTTTCCATTACCCAGCTAGTTACAGTTGATGTTATCCCTATTTGATTAAATATGGCTTTATCGATCTTTGAAGATGAAATTTAGTTTTTGTATTAATTCCCATCGTCACGTGTTTAAATTGTAATCAAAATGTTACCCTGGAAATGGCATTTTCAATTTTTGGAAAACATTTGTGAGGTGCTATTACAATGCCGTAAAGAGACTGATTCGATGAATGTGCTGGTGCACTATCGTGATGAAGAAACCAATTGTAGCTCCTTAAATCTCAGCCTTTCTTCTCTGCAACATACAGTCTTTTTAGAACATGAATTTAAAATTCTTTGATTCCTTGACAGTGATTAGGTCCGGATCAGTGTAAGCCATAATTTGAGTTGATTTATTAAATAATGTCCCACTAGTGCATAATTCAGGATCTCATAGTCTTTTTCAGTGCTATGTTAAAAATACAAATAATGGCATGTCAGAGCACCTCCCTAATAGGAAAAATTGTCTGGTAATTGCAAATTTCTCATGACTTAGTCATTGTATTTACAAGTCTTATTATTTTGTCTGGGAATTAGGTATATATGGCTGGCTTCATAGTTTATATTTCAGAACTCTATCGGATGCCAATTTAAAATATAAAAGATGGAAAGCATCAATATTGACTTCATTGGTATTTCTAATAATCGTAGTAATATACATATAAAAAATAGATATGTATATGTCTATGTATTAGCAGTTTAACAGGTTAACGACTCCACTATGAATTAAAAAAATTATACAAAACGAGTGATAGGTATGAATGCTTAAGACATATTTTAAATGTTGAATAAAATATTAAGACATGAGTTTTAGAATTTGATTTGTTGAAACTTTTCTGGTAATTTATTATAAAGTATTTTTATTTTCATCGAAAATTACTTGTAGGTTCTAAAGCTCAAAAGTTTTTATTGTATATAAAATAAAACTATACAGTGTTTGACTAAAATTCTGATCTTTAAAATATGTTAAAAATATATATGTACAAAATAGATATTAATGTATTATTTTTATAAAAATCTTTTTTGTAAGTATGTTTGTATGATTAAAATGTGAAATAATAGTTTAGTTTTTATTTCCAACTAAAATTTTTGAAGTGAATAATATTTAGCGTGACGCGAAATATCAATACAGTACAGTAACCTTGCGGTATACAGTAATAACATACATATAGGTACACCTATTATAAAAAATTTTTATAACAACAGACACACTTTTTTATTAAAGAAGTGTGTCTGTACCCTTGTAATGCTGTTGGTTATATTGTTTAATAGATCTCTGGAAACCTCCTTGTTTCCTTCTTCATGGAAAGAAAGTTATGTTGTTCCTATATTTAAAAATGATCAGAAAGACAACATTGAACATTATGGTAGCATTTGTAAACAATCTAAAATCCCTAAGCTCTTCGACTGTCTTATAGCAAAGCAACTTTCTTGGTAAAGGCTTAATATCTCAATCACAACATGGTTTTTATAGCAAAAAAATCCCTTGGTTTGCTATCAATCTGATACATTTATCTTAAATGAAACATTATCTCATATTAAACATGTTCTTAAAGAACATTATCTTAAATGAAAGACAATAGACAGGTAGATGCAATATAGAGAATTAGAGTAATTACTATTTTAATAGGAATAAGCCACAATTAAAGTGTAAAATAATTTACGTTTCAATTTCCACTTCAGAAATCAATCTCAAAATGCAAACATGACTATAGAGGTAGGGAAATGTGGAAGTAGTGGGTGTGTATGAGTGACAGGCGTTATTGTGACGTGTTCGACATTGTTAGAGTGGGTTAGCGGCGGGAATAAGTGAAAAAAAAAAACATGGCGTAATGTTAGAACATTAGGCACATATCTTCGCTCCGATGGTGATGTATCATGTGATATGATTTAACAAATAGAATGCAACTGAACCGCGGTTCAAATATACACGGAGCATACAGACAAAAAATTAATGAACAGAAAGAATTATTTTTTATGTACTATTTTAAATACTATCACGCCATGGTTCATCGGCCTCTGTACAATAATCCGTTTAGGCACTATAAGCTATAATACACTTTGGTACACTGCTATGTTTTTTTTCTATGTAGATGTATTCTGATCAAACCCTATCACGTCACCATCGGACCAATAAAAATGGAGATACAGTGTAATGCCTTTTTAGCATGTCGCCATAGTTGTTTTTACTTATTTCCTGCATTGTCCCACTCTTAACAATACCATACACGTCACAACTCTTACATGTGGCACAACCATCAAAAATGATGTCCTTCTCCCTCTCTAACACATTAATTTCCCTATCTTTATAGCCATGGATACATTGGAACACTATTACCTATATATAAATGTATATACACTCCTAAACATAATATAGGGATACACTCCGGGAACCATATGCTTGCAATCAATGGAATTCTTCACCTGACTGCTAAAACCATGTTGATCAGCACCAGTGACAATAATCTTATTGGAATTAACAATGCTGTAAATATTAGTGGCACTGAAAAACCCAAAGATAAAATAACACAAATTCTAGTGCAAACGGTTTATTTAAAAAAATAAAATGGCTTCCTGCCTAAAATATTACAAAAAATCAATCTTTTCATTCTCAAAAATAAAATTACTTTCACAAATAGTAATAGCATTCTGCTTTAAACACCATTGTAGTACATTCATCTTTATAAATATAAAAAATTATGTTTTCAAATTATTTTTTATATACTGTAAAATCTGATGTAAATATTCCCTATTATATTCAGGTAAACAGTCTACTTCTAATAATACACTTGATTCTTCCAGTTTTAATGTAACAAGGAATTTGAAAAATACATCTCTTCCATCAGTGTTTGATATTTTTAATTTCTTAACAAATGCTCCCTCAATGTGATCTTCGTGAATTCTTTTACCAGGAGATTTTGCACCTTCCATATCCAACGATTTCTCGTCATTATTATTTTCACCTATTAAAGAAGAACTGGCATCACCATTTTTCATTTGTTCTCGCCTTTTTCGTCTCTGATTTGACCAAGTGTTTGAATAAGCATTCACAAAATATCTTAGCACACTTTTCTTTCGAGAAACTTCTTCAGTAACCATTTCTAATTGATCAAACAACTTTAATATATTATCTCTAATTAAATTTAATGATAATTCATTGGTTTCATCTACTGGTATTCCACATGTCAATGGTTCTTTGGGTTTACTTTTCTTTATTGCTAGTTTTATTGGATCCAAACATTTTTTTAAATCAAATGTTGAGCAAAAAGTCCAGGCAAGTCCCCATCTACAAAATATAGTTTTGTCAGTAAATAATAAAATAATGCAAAACTCAATTTTAAATATTGACACAATAATTTATTTAATGAAAACATGGAAAATCTATACTGAATGCCTATTAGTTTAAAATGTTATATTTCTTACAGTTTGTGTATTTATTTAGTTAATTCATACCACACTTTGACATTTTTTCAGTTTGATATTTCTTAAAATTGTGATTAAACCATTTGTCATGCATTTACCCACTTTGGTAACATTTAAAATGGGAGTAGATCTCTTGTTGTTTAAAAAATACCTCTTATCGTTTTCCTTTTTCTATCGTGTTCTGTGAAATTTTATATGAAGAGTGGTTTCACTTGTGTCATGGTACAAGAGGTCACTGATTTACAATTCCTAAAGATACAGTTTTTATGAAAATGTAAAGTATTCCAGTAATTTTGTAGAGTACTAGTATAAGTGGAACATTTTGCCTTTATTAAGTGTAAATAATTCCTAACAATGGACTGAAGTGTTCAATCTTTGGGGTTGAAATTAAATTTTAATTTAAATTAATTTTATATTATATTAAATTTTAAATTTAAATTTAAATCTTTTGTTTTCTTCTTCCCAATTTTGGAATGAGTTAGCTCAATATCACAATCAGAAAAAACCACACTTATTGAAATTATGGGAATTGTGGTACATTTCCATGTATAGAATATTCAACTATTTGTCAACAGCAAGAAGATTGTCTCCTGCTCTAAGCACCACTTTACTGCAATCATCTTAATATATCATACTTATCACTGTATAAATTTGAAGCAAATTTTTATGAAAATTGACAATTTCATAGTTACATTTAAGATACTTGTAGTATAATGAGAGTTCGCAATTTTTTATTTCTTACAATATATAATAAAGTTTATTACTTTTATCATGCAGTGTTTCCATCAATCTGAGATCAACTACAATTGATTTCCCATACTTCTCACAATTTTACTACGATAATAAGACAACAAGTATCAACACTTTGTATTTTTTTAAATTGAATAAAAATATTACCTAGTAGTATTGCCTTGACAAAATTCTGTTTCTTTAAAGCTGCAAACATCAACTTCTCTAAGCAAAGTCTTTAACTGAGGTAAATTCTTCTTATGTCCAACCATTGTAGTGTAAATTTTAATTTGGGTTCCTAATATTTTGCTTTCTTGGATAAGTTTACTAAGGAAGTCTACTTCACCTCCTTTTACTACAACTTCGGTAGGTGTAGCACAAAATGAATTTTTTGGTTTTGGTCTATTTAAACTTCTTGAATTTAGATTCGAATGCAATTCTTGCGTACTGCCAAAGAATGGTGGATTACACATGCAGAAATCATATTCATCTTGATTTACAACATCCTTTAAAACTGTATTTTCATTAACTTTTACTATTTGTATAAATTCTTCTAATTTATTTGTCTCTATATTAGTGTTGGCATATGTTACACTGTTGGTATCTATTTCAGATGCTACCATATGCCATTTATTTTTCTTTGCAGCTAGAAGAGGATATACACAAGAAGCTCCTGTACCTAAAATGCAATATTATACAGTGTATAATATAAAATGTTTTAGCAAAACTGAAATGTGTTAAACCACAAAAAGACATTTAAAAAGGAAAGAAAACTAAAGAGAGAATAACAAGAAGTCCATATACTGGTGCATAAATAAATTTTCTCAAAAAAAAAATTGAAAGGCAATACTTAATTGTTACAAAAAAAAACAATGTATTAGTATAGTAAGAATAGTTACTCATATACTAGACTGTTGTTGGAGAATAATATCAGTCCAATCAAATATTGCGTAAGTTAGTTAAAGTACACAGAACCAAACTTATATGGAATCACCCAGTATTTCCAATTTTGTAATTACTAAATTTTTTAATGGAAAATCAACTACATTTTATATTAAACTAGTTTAATTACTATAAAAAAAAAACAATCAAAAAATGTTATAAATGCTTGAAATGAACAAAAACACAAAAAAACATGAACAAATGAAAACATTGCAATGGTTGACTAAAGAAAGATACAGTCTTGTTGTTCATTTTAATAGTCAGTGTTGCCACCTCTAGCTCTAATACAAGCTTCAATCCCACAGGAAATGTTTCTAATCAAAGTGTCAACTTGTTCTTGAGTTAAGTTTGTCCATTCTTCTAGAGCGGCTTGAATGAGCTGATCCTCATTACCTGGATTATCCCTTTGAGCTCTAATCCTTTTTTAATGAGGTTCCATACATGCAGGGAATAATATCAGGTGAAAATGAAAATATTTCCCACTGCAGCTTGCCACAGCCTAACTATGGGTTCTAGTACTAAATCGACATACCAGGGACCCGGTAAACTTTGCAGTAGCGTGTTTTTTCTCCTATCATAAACCATTTCTCCTATCATAATATAATTTATATCTTGGAACAGATCTGGCAGTTTGCAATCTAGCTTGTCTACCTCAACCTCTTGAAACCCGAATTCGATGGTCACCTGATCTCAGGCCAATTCTGGTTTCATCTGAAAAAATGACATTTTGCCAATCTTCATTTGTCCAGGTCTGGTGTTCCTGACACCAATTCAGCCAATCAATTTTGTTCTTTCAGGATAACTCAGGAACCTTCAACTGCCTCCTGCTAAATAAATTTTGGGAATGAAGTCTCTTCATACTATTTCAACTGAAATGTCAATATCTGTAGTCTGCCAAAGTTGTCTTGAAACAATCCCTGTTCAACAAGAGCAACAATTCTTCCCCTCTGAACATCTGACAAACCTAAGTAGGGCATATTACCTTTTTTGAACGATTGTGATGTCCAATAATAAAAAATAATTTCTATACCTATATCAACACCTCTAATATTTTCAGATTTCCCAGTTAAGGACAAAAGATCTTCTAACCATAAAATATAATTCAGTCTCAAGGGAATAGTTGGTATTAATTTATCTAATGGCATTTCCACGTTAAGACCAAAATCTTTTTTCAGTAAAATACAGGACAAAGCTCTCAATGCTTTTGTATTTTTGAAGTCAAGAGATACTTTTCCAGTAATATCTTGCGTTACAAATTCTCTAAATTCCGGAAAATCCAGTGCAAGTTGTTTAAAATTTGGCGGCGATTTATATATATTTCTTGGATGCATATATTTATTCATAGCCATTTTTAAGGATTACAAAATAAACTATTTTTTTATTTGAAAACGACCGCGATACGTATACAAAGGTTAGGTTTTTTCTTCTTTTTTTACAAAAAGGTTACAATAGAAGGTACATAGAAAAAGATGGTTACGACTCTCTCATGTTAATTCAGTAATCGGTATTTTTATTTTAATACGGCAAGTTATCGATAAATGTTCAATGAAGTTTGTAAGTACTCTGATTTAACAACATAATTCATACTTCTTCCATTCTTGTTCTATATAATCGGCATTATCATTCTGGCTTTACAACCCTGCGTGGGTCCTAGCCTCCTCAAGAATCTTTTTCCGGTTTTCCCCATCTATTTTCCAGCAAGTATTCTCATATTTTTCATGTTTTTATCGTTTTTATCAATGAACCGTGTTTTAGGTATTGTTCTGTATAGTTTCTTTATATTGTTAATATAAATTAATAAAACGAGTCCATATATTTTAAATAAGGAAATAAATTATTTCAAACAGAAAATCTAGTTTTTATTTTTAAATACAATTAAGGGTGTTTTATTTAACCTATTGTTTATAATATGTTAAATAGTACGTATCTTCTTAATCTTAATCTTCAGGACATTTAATGAATGGATTATCAGGGGTCAGCCATGTTTTAACCTTCCAATCCATTTTCCGATAATCCCAGTTGGATGCCAGTCCAAATATAGGATCTTCCCTCATATCGATTCTCCTTCTCAACTGAGCTCTGTTTCGGCTGGGCATAAAAGTTACGGGTAAAGGATCATCAAGTAAGAGCAGATAAAAAATGTATATCCACATTGCAGCTGAAATAAGAATTAGACCTGAACCAATGACCCCCATCCATTCACCGCCTCTAGGTGCAGTAAATTCTGAAACATAAAGTGTTTAGTTGACTTTTGAATATTGATTGATTTTGATGTTTAGTGGATTCGTTTTAAAAATCACAAATTAGATAATGCTTTATTATACGACAAAGAAATACAAGTGTTTGGTAAAAACAATCATTCTCATAATCAGTGGTTTTACAGTGATAAAAAGGTCCTACAGTTTCTCAAGTTTCCTATGCCATTTTGTTCTATCCTGAAGTTACAGTTTGTAAAGGTACAAACTGTACAAGAAATTGAATAATACGCCTTACATTACACAAACCCGCTTTGAAGAACAGTGCTACCAAAAGTAAACTCTTCTAAGAAGCTAGGTGCGCTGTTATAACAAATTTTAAACAGTGGAGTCCTACCTAATTATGTCATAGAAGTTCATATATTGGAAAATTTATACATGCTGATTTACTGTGCAGCAACATCAATTGCTAATTTCAGATGCCCTAAGCACAATATATTGCTAAAGAATTATTTATGCAATATACTGTGCCCTAAGATCAGAACATGACGTCTTACAGGTCCAAAAAACAAATGTCGATATGGATGTCAAGCCCAAGAAACCGGGCTACTAGAAATATTACTAAAATTTGAAGTAATAGAAAAAGATCGACCCAAACCCGATTCTAGAGAATTCTATAGAGCAAACTCCTCGAAGAAAGAAAATTATAAGACCAATTCTATTCCAAAAAAGAAATAACAAAGGTCATATAATTAATTAATAATGTTCATAATTTTTTACTTACCTTCAAATGTTTGGCAGAAATTAGCTCTATACAATTCTTTTTTCTGTTCTCTACTTAGTCGTTTCCAATCTCCTTTTTGTTTGAGGAACAATGCTTGTAATTCTGGAGTGATTTCTTTATATCTAAGAGCGGGAAACGGGAAATGAGGATGATCGACATACATTGGCAAACCGTTCATGCCAAAACCTACCATTTCTCTATTACCTACCCGATCTAACCAATATTGTGAACGGCAGTTCATAAATCCCATATTTCTCCTTAAAACCGAAAATATTGGCAATATTTTTGACATTGTTATTTTTAATGATAAAATGTAAAATTTAATAATAAATTTTGACGTATATTTGACGTTTGTGGGGAAATAACAATTTTTATGGCTACCTTAATAAATACAGTATGTACACAAGCTCCAGTCATTGCAAAAAAGAAATATTAAACTAGGGATCCAGATTTAATGCCCGATATACAAAATCAGAAATTATTATTAGACGTCATTGTATGAGATGGGCTGAGAATGCTTAGCCATAAATTTTATCATTTTATAAAATTAGAGATCAAGTCCTACTATTCATGCAACAAAGTTTTTTTGTAGAAAATAAAATATTACTTTTAATACCAAAAGATGAGATCCTGAGATAGCAAGAGAATGGTTAATAGCGCAGGATGCCTAGGCTGAACAGCACTGGGTCCGTTTAAAACATGGCTGATTCCGTCTGCGCGTACTTATCTTGACAAGCAGAGTGAGCCTTTTCATTGTTTATTATTCTGTGTCCGAAGCTTCATCAGCAATAACAGAAATGGATTGACCTTTAATTTCATCATTTATTTATCGTAAACATATTATGTTTTTAAAGCTTTTATATGTTGTGACAATTTATGGTTATCATGGGTAATGAACATTTTTTAGGCATATTACTTTAAATTCCGGAGTCATATTTTGGAGTAGCTTTACAATCTCTTGAAAATAATGCTCTTTCGTTGCTTTTCTTTTTTTCTTTCATAGACATGGGGTCCCGTATAAGTTTTCTTCAGTTACGTAGCTTACGTCCCTCAGAACAATAGCCAAGTTGATTGTGAACGCAAAATATTTTCCGGCATTACGGTATGTAGTTTTACTATTCGCTGTTTTTGGACCCAATAAATCTCACCCATAGGATTTGCTAAATCATTGAATTTTGAACCCTCAACTTTCATCCAACAGGATATGTGAATTTGCTTTTGTGACGGTAAAAATTAATTTTTAGGACTGCGCGCCATAGCCGTCTCGTGGGAATTTTATGTTATCACATTATTTTTTATATTTTTTAGATATGAAAGGAGTAATACCTCAATTTTAAGCGCATCTTCTAGATCGGATGTGGATGTACACGTACTATGTGAGATTTAGAAACTTTAGTTCATGGTGTTTGTCATAATAAAGATGAGAGAAATATAAATACATTGGGTCATGTAAGAGGTAAAAGGATATTAATTACTCATCATATTTGGAAGATGAAATATATGGAAAGATAAGTTGGAAGACACGCCCAGAACTTCGTGGCTGAAAGACCTGAGGAGAGGGTTTTGCCGGTCTCATCACAATAAATCTGCCGTGCTGCCAGTTGAAAAATGAAATACAAATGCCATTTGGATCGCCAACATTCGAACGGACAACGGGCGCATTAAGAGTGTTGTATGCGCAGCGACTCACATTAAGGAAATAATATTCGCTTCAGCGATTTTTTATAAGAAAAAGAGTAAAGAACTTCGTATTTTAAAACAGAATTGTTTTGGTCTTGTTCAAATCCAACCCAATCGTATCTGCGTAAGAAATTATTTCCAAGATATTTTTGTCCCAATAATTTGAAAACAGTCAAACCTATTTTGTTTATGATTTTTGTTTTTATCTTTATTGATGTCACTATCTTTTACTCTTCCAAGGTATTACAGTACAGTGTTACTTTTTAAAAAAGACCGTATTTTTAAAACATGTTTAATTATTTATATTCGACTTTAGTTATACATCATATTGGAATTGATTTAATAAAAATTATTATAATTCGCTTAACATATAAATAACTTAAACGGTACCAGTCATTATACTCTTAATATTTGAAGTAAATGCCCTGAAAAATAAAAAAGAATAATTAATCTATTTATAGAATACATACACATGGTACAACACTCAACATAAGAAAAAATAAATTTTTATTGGTGTTTGAACAAAGCGTAACTTACTTAGAAGAAATTGGCTCCCCTGGTATATAAAACGGATTGCTGACGATATCGGCGTATTCTGAATGTATTTTCCTGAACATCTAAAAATGTAGAACATTAAGTAAATTTGAATTTTCTTTTAAATCCAATGTACTTACTGATCTTATTTCATTATCTCTTATAGCCATATTGGTCGAGTCTATAACAATAATAAACTTAATTTTTGTGTTTGTTACGTAACCATATCTAAAATATTAATTAATTAAAGAAAATTTATAATTTACTATAAGATATACAAACATTTTATGTGTTTCCAGTGAGAGCAGCATACCTAAATATAGTTTCTCTCATATCCGCTCCACTCTTTAATCCAGAGTTTAATTTTTCTTCGACAACGTCTAAGATGAGAGAACTTTGTACTGAAAGTGTAATTCTTCATCTGGATTTATGGTGGCAAAAAATTTCGGTGAATTCTGCAAAAAATATATATCTACACATTTGTCGTCACCCTTCTCACTTATCAACCAGCAAGCTGAATACCTAGCATGATGTAAAATCGGTAAATAAAAAGAAGAACTATTTATTTCATATGTCATGCCATTCGTGTAATTGTCAAGTAAACATTAAAAAAGTGTAAATAAGAAAGACAAGTAGAATAACAAAATTTGCGCATTAAACGTATTTTTTATAATTAATTCAAATAGCCATTATTTATTAATCGAGTTATAACTTTGAAAAACATAGTCTAAAAACTTACATCTTTTCCAATTATTGCTGCACACACAGCCATTTCTACTTAGTAAACAGTGCAAAACTAAAGGTCTACCTACACGTTAACATTATCCAACACTCAGAACTGACACGGCGCAGCAGGATGAGTGTAGAAGTGCCTGTAGAGGCGGGACAGTTTGAAGAAGAAAACAATTATGAAGATGAGAGATTTTATATAGCTGAAGAAAATCACAGATCGGGAAATACAGGAACTAGTGCCTTTGTAAGATTCATAAATACTACAGATAGGGATGTGGACATAGTCTGGATAAATTATAGTGGAAAATATATTAGGTATAGAAAGTTGAGCAAAGACAATTTTCTTGATGTAAATACCTATAACTCTCATCCTTGGGTGGCATTTGATTACCATACAAAGGATAGACTTCATATAGAAAAAGAATTTGTATTTTTTCCAAAGACTTTAAGAGAGTATTTTAAAGTGCATCCTGACAGAGTATTCCCAATAGATAAAGCTAGAATTCCAGCATATATTACAGTTCCCATGTATAGTTTAAAATATTCCGCATTATTAGCTGTTAGGAATAAACTGAAAAGTTGTAAAGACGCTGAAGTTTTAGAATTACCTAGAGAGTTGATTGAAGATTTAAAAAGGGTTATTAAATTGAGGAACAATTTATTATATACTTTTAATAGCAGTTCTTAGTAAAAATGTATTTTTGAGTGTTTTAAATTTAAAAGACTTATTGTAACAATGGCTACAATCTAATAAACGCATAGTTGGAGTGAACTCTAAAACTTTTTGTAATTGGTAGTTTTTCAAAATTACATTTAAAATATACTAAGTTGGTCATTTATTTTAAATTATATAAACTACCAATAAAAGATGCTGCAAAATAATTATGTTTCTAAGTCACACAAGGCATTTATGTTGAGTCCTTGAATAATATTAAAGAAAATAATAGGCAGCCAAATATCAACAATGCATTCTGAGACCTCTAATAATAGTTTATTTTTGAACTACTACTCACAAAACTGTCATATTATACTACTCAACTTAATAAAAACAAGATACAGTAGACTCCCTCTATAAAGAGAACTGAATTGGCAGACTAATTACCTCATTCTATGCCGATCTCGTTATATCAGACAACAATAATACTGTGCGTACATATGAATATGTAGTTTTCTAAAACATTAACTTCCTATAGTGAAGCCATTCGGAGCAATATAAGATGCTAATAAATATTGTTTAAATGGCGTTTTTGAAAAAAGCTGTTTACTTTTTGTCAATGAAATACATTAAAACAAAAAATAGTTGTTTACTATTATTGTCAATGATACTCATTAAAACAAAAAAATCTGTACTTACATTTTTTTTCCAACTACATAATGTATAAAGCGTATTTTCAAGGATAACATAAACTATTGCTTCTTCAATTGGAAGAAGTCTGTCATTGTTGACTGCTTTAAAAACAGTTGTATTTATTGTAAAGAAGTTTATTGCAGGTGGCAGTTAAGTTTATTTCGGGGCAGTTAAAAAGGGTATTTATTTATAACCACGGCCAGCCCAAAAACGTATAAAACACTTGTTATAAGCAAATTTGCCTCACTATATAGGGTTATAGTTCAAAAGAAATTTCACGGGATATCTAATGTACCTAGCTATAAGTGAAACCTCGTAATAACTGTGTTCGTTATAGAGGGAGTATACTGTACTTTGTTTCATTAAAAATTTTCATTTTGAAAATATAATTTTTAACTCAACTATCTATTAATTTAAATATTTTATAAATGATATAGTGTATTTAAGTTATTTGAACTACACTACTTTGCCAGTATTAGATAAAAGACTAACAGCAATCAAGTTTATCGAATAAATAATATATTTGTGTGCTTTTAATGTATTTACGCATGTTTTATGCTTTGCTCTTACATAATAGGTATATACAATAAAACTCCTCAATATGGTAGTCCTCCTTATAGTAATATGAATGTAACTAAAGATTATACTTTGTTATAATATTGTTCAATAGAAATCTGCTTTAAATTTTTTATTTTGGCCTCATGTTTCATTAAAATGTGAGAAATGTCAGTGGATCAGTCATTCTGGATCAGTAAAAAATTATGAATGTCTCTAAGTTTTTAACAAACTTTACTCTTATCCAACAATGAACACATTTCTTTATCTTGGACTTTATTTTCTTCAAATTAAGTGTTGGGTTGTCTGTTACAACTTCTGAATCAATTGATATATATTTTCCAATATAGATTTTCTGGCTTATTCTTAAGAGAGGGGATAATTGACTCAGTAGAATATCATCATCTTCAATAGCCTCATCTTCTTGGATGGTTTCCAAAACCTTTTTTTATAGTCACACTTTTCCATATTGAAGCTATCAATTCAATCATTTGAAGCCTTAAAATCATTCATTTTTCAATTTTCAGATACTTATCAAGGTTTATTATTTATCAATGGACCTGATATGGACATTTTCGTTTTTGATCAGTATTAACATCTTGTTCAAAATTATTTATTTTTGTTTTAGTCTAGAGAATATTATTAACTTGTGTTCTTCCAAATCCTCTGCAACTTTCATGTGCTATTACCATATTTTTCACTTTCTATGATAATTTGAAATTTTTCTTTAAAAGGGAAATATTTTCATTTCAGATACATAATTACTATTTTATGAAAGACACATATTTAGCTAAAATATACATAGAAAATTATGTATAAATTTTAGGTCTTGTGATGATAAAACTATTTTTAGAAGCAATAATCAAAAAATTCAGAAGATTTAGACTGAAATTGGGGATGGAAATTCGAAGTAATTTTACCAAAAATATTTTTGTTGATATGGATATGGATTACTAGCCGTTTTCTAAGAATCTGCTAGTAACAACTGATTTATTAAACTAGTAATCTTTTTTAGGATTTGTTCTATTATATTAGGATCCTTTAATATAAATTAATGTTAAATATTAAATTGTTTAAAATTTATTTAGATGTTTATGATTTTTTTACAGTTATTACCTTGCATACTGTATTTATTTTTCTTAAAAATAATTGTTTTTCTTTTACAACACATTTGAAATTGTTTTCAATAATTTTCATAAAAATTTGATCTATTAATTTTGATTTTTTTTTCACCAATTGCTTACTTTTAGAAATCATTCAGGTTTTTTTAATAGTTTACCCTAGAATTTTTTATAAACAAATTTTATATAATTCACTCACCTACTAAATAAACTCACTAAACAAGAAATATCTCATTAATAATTATAAAAATACTAATATTTATCGCCAACAATGATACACACTTACAAAAACACTTGTCTAATACTTTTACGCCATGGATGCAATTAGAGCATTTAAAAGTTTAGACTTTTTAGTTTAAAAAAGCTGGTAGCCACAGACATCAATGATAACCATATTGATCCATCTTCTTCTCATATTCTTGTGTTGTTTCGTTTTTTTTTAAGAAACGTTCTAGAAAAAACTCGCTTCTTTGTGTAAGAAAGAACTCAATTGAATGTGGGGTCATTATATCTTGTCAACTCCTTATGCTTTTTCTTGAAAAACAATCCATGTCTTGAAACTTAGGTTCCTCTTACGTAAAAAAAATTCATATTGAATTTGAGGAAAAGGGATTTTAAGAAAAGGTAGAAATAATTCGAAGACTCTCAGTCAGCGTCTCTGATTTTGTGGGATTATCACGATCGAGTAGAAGCTATGGATGGCCATAACAGAAGGAGAAGTGAAATTGAGATTCGGAGTTGTTTGCCGGGCCTCCCTCTGTATATACCGTATTGGTAAGTCAACTGAAGAGGGAGGAAGTCCTTACCGATATGTGGGCTTGCCTGACTTGGTTTACCAATTGGATGAGAATCGCAGGAAAACTCCCCCATACGCCACTGATAAAACAGTAAGTATAGGTTTCCTCATGGTCTCTTTTCGGCCGACCTCCAGTAAGTAATTTTTGTAGTTCTTTCATTGCTCATTTGGAGCAAGAGGCGAAACCAACGAATTTTATGAGATTTAACAAACTTTACTATATCGGCCTGGTTAATAAACTCAAGCTCGAAGTTCATGAAAATTTTGTAACCCCTATTCTGTTCCCGGGCCCAGAAATCTTTCTGAGCACTTTTCTTTCAACATTTCTCAGGACATCTTCCTCTTTCTTCAGCTTATTAGTGTTTTGTATAATTGCATCTTCGAAGTGGCCCTAGTATTTTAGAAATTAGCAAATTTTATTTGCTTAGTATGTCGTTTCCTTTGCTTAATCTGTTCATTATTTCTCCACTTACATCATTACTTTGGACTACTAGGGAATATAGTACGAGAATTCTGTTATTTTCCTAATCTTATGTTTTTCTATTACCTGCTCTGCCGCTTTGAGTACATTGTTCTTGTATTGTTCCACATATAGTAGATTTTCATCTCTATTTAATTCCTCCTCTATTACATTTTTATACGCTGTTAGATTTGCTTCGCTGCCCAGTTTACTTATATTGCTAATTTTTGCTTCACAGTAGCAATGACTAAAAAGTGATCAAAGTCGCAATTTATTCCTCTCTAGGAACGTACGTCTTGGATAGAGGAGGCCCATCTCTTTGAAATCAGTATATGATAAATCTGATGGCAATTCATTGTGCCTGGAATTTTTCAAGTTCCCTTATGGATCTGTTTATAAGGAAATAAAATACCGATAATTATCAAATTTTGAGCTTGTACTGGTTGTTACAATCTTTCTCCATTGAGACTTGTTACATCATGACAAAACTCTCAATATCACATTGAAATTTCACAAAGTTGGATTAAAACCGATGGATTGAACTGTGGATTTTATGATTTCCCTAGTCAATATTTTCATAACATTCCAGGATGCTTGCTTGATTTTCAAATACAGTTTTAATCGCTCTAGACTGAAAATTCCATCGTTTTTGGGATTGGTTTTCAATTAGTTTGTTCATCACTTGGTTTAACACTGTTGTTCTGTATGGTGAATTAGAAAACAATGTGGATACGCGACCTATGGGTTCCTAGGAGTACTTGACATCGTATTTTGCAATAATTAATTAAATTGATGCTCGTAGCAATATAATATATAACTTCCTTAATTTCTTGGATTTTAACATTAAATTCCCGCAACTGTCCACGCATTACAGCAGAACCGTCGTAAGTTTGGGCAGTTATTTTTTCGGGCGAATCTTTTAAAATAGGATTATATTGTTCCAAAATACAGGTCGATATCTCAACAGTATCTTGACTTTTCAGATTTGAAAGACCCCAAAATCGCTCATGTATTTTCCAATCAAAAACTAAAGTTTAGGTTTATTAATTCACGTACTCTCACCATGTCTTAAAACGTCTGTATAGCGATGTGTTTCACCACTGCTTATAAGCTGATCTTTCAAATTATTCCATTCATCATTTATATCTGGTTTCGTAGATTGTTCCAAATATTGATTAAAGCATCTTTGATAAAGATCTCCTATGCCTTGTTGTAGCAAATACACTTTAAATACAGAGTATTTTTATTTCTTTTCCACTTCCTTTGTTTCCTCGTTTCCCATTCTGTATCCACATCCTTTGTTAACTCTTTTGATGATTTCGTACATGATTAAATTGAAGAGCATAGGGCTCAAACAGTCCCCTTGTTTTATTCCGCTGCGTATTTCTATAAGTTTTGTAAGTTGTCCATCTATTCTGACTTCCATTTTGTTGTTTTGGTAAATGTTTTCGATAGATTTTATAATATTTAGAGGAAAAACGCTTTCTTTAAGTCAATCAGACACATAAATGCTGGTGTATTATACTCTAGTGATTTCTCAGGTTAGGCGCATACACATCGAATTTGGACGGTCGATAAAAGTTCGATCGAACTTATGTCGACGATGCCTTGGGCGCACACTACACGATATTTATTCGATAACGTTTTTTAATTCAGAGGTTTGTTAGGTGGAGTATACAGAACCACGTAGCAACACGGAGCGACGTACCTTGAGCAGTGTCAAAAACGCAACTGGTCCTCTGCTGGTCGGTCGATAAAGATCGATGTGTGTGCGCGCGTTCATTTGGTACTACACGCCTTGGAATGACGGCAACGACCACGGCAGCCGTCCATGCAGTGACATTCATCGATCTCCACACGACATCGATGCCGTGCCGTTTGACGATCGATGTGTGTGCACGCCATGGACGTATACGTCCATGGTGCACGCTCACATTTGTTTCTTCGCGCCATCAAAGGAATTTGTTTGATCGAACTTTTATCGCCCGTCCAAATTCGATGTGTGTCCGCCTAGCCTCAGTAATTTGCTTTGTAACAAAAATTGCATCTGTAAACGATCTTCCACTACAAAAATCCTGTTGTTCATCAGCTTATAGACTCATCCTCTGATTTATTAATACTTGCAAAATTTTAGTTTGTAAGTTTTAGGGTAGTATTTAACAAGTTTATACCTGTTGTAGTTTTCTGGCTGTTTTTTATCTCCTTTTTTGGATATTAGAATTAGTTCCTCTTTCTAGAATAACTCCGACCTATAATTTTTTCTCTGTCTATTATTTTTTTTATTTTCGTCCATTTACTCTGTATACGTATTATATAGTGTTCGGAATATGTAATTTCCGCGGTAGCCCAAGTAACTTTGACTTAGTTGCCTAATTTTAAGGATTATGGTATTTCACAAATAAAAATGCGTGTTGCTGATACAAAAATAATATATTTGTATACTTTGTACGCCAGACATTTTTTGAAATGTGTCTACATTATTTTTTAAATATCATTTACAAAGTTAACATTTATTAGATCAAAATCGAAGAATTTTCGTTTCAAAATGATTTAAACAGAGTAATACATATTTATTAGATCTATATATGTACTAAAATCTACTTTTAATTTGAATTACGCAATATACGTGTTTTAGATATCCTAATGATGACTCTTATCATAAAATTATGAAATTTATTGAGATTGTGAGTCGGTAAAACAATACACTGTTACTCAAGTAACAACTAGGCTGTTTTAAACAAAAATATTTAGGCATAATGATATTAATTCAGATTAGAAAGAATGTATACAAAAAATAGGTAATATGAAGAATTGACAAGGTGTACAATGCCTCCCAGAATCCCACTCATATACATAACATTATTATTGTATCACTTATCAAAGGAGGTCTAAAACCAATGAATTGGTTAAGGCCCAACGGTTCGAAAGTGATATTAATCTGTGATTATATCACAGATTAATGGTGCATAATAGGCAGACCAAAACGCATGAACAGGAACACAAAACATGGAAATAATGACAGGGTTTGACAAATACACAAATGGTAGATCTGTAAGTATCGCATTAATTGCTGAAGTAAACTTAAAAGTTAGACAGGAAGAATCTGGTTGAAAAAAATATAGCAATTACTCTACAACGACTTGCGAGAGTTATACAACCATTTTATGAAGATTATAAAAAAGATGTTTAAACATATATAAGAATTTTTTAGTTAGATTTGAAAGTGTATTAGTTTAAGAAACTATCCCTTTATTTCTCCTCCTCACCTTGGCTCCACAACTTTTTTGTAAATATTAATATGTAACAATGTACAATAAATGTATGCTCGTTGGCAACTATGTACTATTTTAGGCAAACATTACATGAGTTTTGTTGATACATTTAAGCTTTATACGAACAAATATGAAAAACAAAAAAATTTAAGGGTATTTTTGATGAAAGTTTCCAACAAATCAGGTAAAATAAGAAGTACATCATAAGTATATAATCATAAGCACCATATTAAAGTAGATTTTACCAGAGTAAGTATATTAATCATCATAAAAAGGCACACATTTAATTGCAGCTTAAATCATTTTGAATATAATCAGTGAAAAAACTCCAAGTTTTATAAATCAATTTCATGATAGGCAATAAGTTAAAAATGTCGATTGTATATACACACAGGATATGTTACAACAATAAATAGTATAAATAGGTAGATAATAGTATTTTTAACACTGGTTCCCCTCTGGACAATTTTTATGAAATAGTTGTATTTGTAAAACATTTGTAATTAAAGATAAGTTTAAATTAAAAAAAAAATGATATTGTTAATATCATAATTTCATTTATTACAGCTCGAAACTCGAACTAGTATATAAATAACAACTAACATATGAAGGGCACAGGGGAAAAACACCTTTAGTTAATTTTTTTCAAGAAATGGGTTGATGACGCTATTCAGTGGCTACAAACGAATAGCTTTTGTATAAAACACCGTCGATCTACTAAAATCCACGTTAGAAAATATGCGGCATTGGGGAAAAACCCCGTCAGTCAATGCGCGTATATGGAAGAACCCCGTGAGTCAAATAATATTGTAGTAATCCGTTACCAGGACTTGTGTTGTACACTTGTCAGTCTGTTAGTTGTTGTTCAGCAATAAAGCTGTTTCTTTGTGTTGTCGAGAGCGTGTTGTCAGTTTTTTGTGTACCTGTATTTAAAAATAATGGAAAGCGACTATCAAGAGATATGCGAGCAGCGTCTCACGAGCTTGGGCCAAATTATTTGTGCAAAAGACTTAAATATGATGAGTCTGTGGCAAAAAAGGCGCAGATTTTCTTTTTAAAATTTTGCCCCTTGGAGTGCAAGAACTCTGTTTATTTTGCGACTCATTTGCGGGTCGAAATAAAAATTATACATTTATCCGGTTTTTATCTGGTAACAAAAAATAAACGTTTTAAAACAGTTAAGACGATATTTCCATTAGGGGACACTCTTACATGGAATGCGATTGGAATATGAACACTGTTAAACAAAAATCCTATACAAAGGTTCCAGAAGACTGGAGGAAGGTTCTAAGTTCTATGCGATAAGTTGGATCGTTAAAGGAATTATCCGATAAAATATACCTCGTAATAAGTAATACGATCCAAGAAAGAATCGCAACATTCATAATCACTACGAATCTCATAAGATGTACAAATTGGAAGATTAAGTTGGGTAATTAAAGGAACCACCCGATGAAATATCTTCTAAATTAATAATAATTTTTATTATAAAGTCAGACATTTTCTGTATATTTATATGCATTATTTATTAATCTAATGGTAATTAGCAATTGACAACGAAAATATTTGGCAAATTAAAGCAATGTAATGTTTTATTGTACCTATTACAATACTAGCATAAAAATAAACGTCTGTTAAAAATGTATCATTAGGAGTAGACTAAACTGTGCAACGTGTCAAGGTGTATCTGTTGTGTATGCATCTCTTGAGGTCTAACCAAGTATATTTAGACCTATGAACATTAATAACTCTATAAAACAGAGTAGAAGATAACTAGAGGAAAGTTTTTAAAAAAAACTGCAATTCTTTTTGGAAGATGATTGCCAACGATATATAACTGATAAGACCTTACGAAGAAATAAATTTTCTAAAAAATATTGTAACAAAATTTGTATTTTAAAGTAATTAAATACTTTACAAATTTACATTATAAAACAATTCAAACTTATCATTTATACAAATACGAAAATTTTTGGAAAAACTATTTTTAAGTAGAATTAAATGAACTATTCATAAATGTAGTCCAGTGAGACATAACAAGGAACATAAAAATACATTTTGATTAAAATTAGATAGAAGTAAAATATTTCTTTCATAATTTGAAAAGTTGTGTCCGTTGCAAATGTAGGTATACTTAAAACAATATGTAAAACACACAGTTCGGAATGTGAGGAACAAACGCAATAGAGATACTGCATTATTTAACATTAAATATATATAACTGGCAAATTATAAAACCACTTTCATTTAAAACTAATCCAAAATTTGAAATCACACTAATTTAATTACTACAAAAAAACATTTTTTGATTTGGAATATTCCTTTGCTTTGATATGCAGGTTGGCTTAATGTGTTGAAGATAATTTGACCCTGTCTATTTATAAATGTGTAGTTTATTTCTAATTATGTGACAAATAATAAATTATTCGACTATTTTTTCATACCAAGTAGTTTAAGTAAAGTTTAATTGAAATTCGTGATTACCACAAAGATGTGAATGCTTTGTACCATTCAAGATCAGTAAAGTTGCCCAAAACTGCTTAAAAAAAACATAAATAATTCAGGGGTTTTCTGAAAAGAAAATACTGCTTGACGATGATCTAGTAAAAAAATGGCAAATTGGCAATTGTGAATGCTCACGTGGACCAAGTGTTATAGAAAACAAAGTAAAATTAGCATAAATTATCTAAGGATTATTAAGCCAAAGATGTTTTTAATTTTGAGGAAAACAGACTTTGACAATGCCAAAAATCTGTCGCCTCTAAGACTGATAATATACTGGAAATCGACAGCGGTACTTCTTTTTTGCTCTAACATGACCCGTGACACGGAAAATCATTTAGTTATGGAGAAAACAAAAATCTAGGGGGTTTAAAAGGATGACATTTAGAATGGGTTACTGTTCTATTCGCAATTTATCTGCATGTGCTTGTTTGAAACACCATATATTGGATGAACTTCACGATCACGATTTTTAACCACTTAAATGGTCATAATATCACCCAAGAGGACACTAGTTTGAAATAAACAATAGTTGCAATTACTTCTGAGGAGTGACTTTAACCCCTTACCGCATAGTGGGTCATATATGGCACAATACTTAGTTTTATACATAACCGTTCGAGATCGAATCTTATTTTAAAGTATTTATGTATGACATGTCCATAAGGAGCATATCGGTAATAAAGCGCCATCTCAATGCAACAAAGGGAAGTTTTGTGAAAATTTTCAAATGGCCGCGGTTTGACAGCTGTTCATAAGAATTATGCAACTTGATATTCAATTATCGAAGTTTCTACTGAATATTTTTGTACAAAAAAATAACGACATCAAGGATATACCTTCAAAAAAGAATTTCTTTATATTTTGGTATTTTTTATCAAAAATATTCTTGTGACATCTGTCACAATATGCACTGTCGTACAAAACTCTCTTTCATATATAGCACAATATGCGTTCTGAACTAGGTAGTTATGATAGAGAAGGTCACCACAATTGATGGTACAAAAATTACTGTTGTTACATGGTACGACAACAAATTAGCAAACATTTTATCAACATATGCTGGGAGTATGCCAACAGTTGAAGTTAAACGGTTTTCGAAAAAGAACAAGACACATATAATGGTTCCATGTCCAAAAGCTGTAACAACAAGTATATGGGGAGGGAGTAGATCTCCTTTATTCAATGTTGGGATATTATAAAATCAAACTCAGATCAAAAAAAAAATGGTACATGCATGTATTTTTCCATATTATTGATTTGATAACTGTCAATGCGTGGATTCATTGGAGAAGAAGTGACAATGATCATAATAAATTAGCTCTGGCATTTAGCTTTCAAAATGGCAGTAGCAGAGTGTTTACGCAAAGTTAATAAAGCTGGTTTTACTACAAAAAAGAGTCGTCCGTGTGGAACTATGGAAAATTTATAAAACAAGAAAAGAAGGGGTCCAGCAACCGATATTCCAATGAAAGATGTGCGAGCATATGGATATAATATTCTTCCATCATGGTCTAGTGAAAGACAAAGATGCAAATATCCCTGTGGTTCAAACAGCTTCAAAAAATGCGAGAAGTGTAATGTTTTCTTTGCTTAAACAAAGATAGAAATTGTTTTTACAACATTCACACTGAATACTTATTATAATTAGAAAGTAATAAACGTCATTTTTTTATTAATTTTATATGTTGAATCTTGTTTTAATGCTTAGTGCGCCATATATGACACAAAAAAATACAAAAAACTAACCAAGTAGGATTTTTTTTTTATTTATACCGTAATCTTGAAGTCAAGTTTGTAATCATAGATTTTTCTTATAAAAAATAAAAAAATCATGCAGTAAGGGGTTAAACTAAATCTTACAATCAGCGTTTTGAACACATCAAACAATTACTCAAGAGACATGGTCTAATACCTTGCAAAAATAAATAGTAAATTTAAATATATCTTAAAAAAATGTATAACAAATCACATTCCTATTTTGTATAACATATAATTTATATTTGTATAAAGTAGATAATGCTTAAGTAGTAATTTTTCAAATGTTACGTAGAAATGAAACGTATAATGTACTTCTAGAAATACAGAACTGAAAATATATCACAGAAAGTAGTGCAAACGCCAACTATGAGGAGGTTGCGCAAATGACGTATTTTTGTCTAGACTTCTCTCACACGCCATACGATTGGAAAATTGTATTGGTAAATATTAAATAACTGGTATACAAGTGTTTTCGTCTCAGTGAAGTAAAACAATATATAAACGAAAGTTAAAAGGGGCAAGGTGTTCTAAAGTAATAGATGAATTGAGCTTCTTTGTATTCAAATTAGTAAGAAAAATGTATGTAATTTTTATAAAAGTAAAGTAGAGAATATTGTAGCCTTCTTTGGTTAAATAACCTTTCTATTTCCCATCTGTGAACTTTAAAATGATGTTCAGATAATCTTGCGCCTGGCACTGTTTTATTGTCCCGATTTACTTCACCAATGCTGTTAAAATTGGTGCTCTTAAAACCTGAGCGGCAAAACCTCACCATCATCGGTGTTCGCTTATATTAAAGAAAAATTTTGTATCATTTTCTAATAATGAAAGAATCATAATTGTTCAAAGTTATTTGAAATGAAAATTGCTGCTCAAATAATTATTCTGCGCTGCATTATACTTGTGCAATAGATTCAGTTTTCAATAAACTTCGATATCAATTTAATTACACTTAAGGCTCGATACATACAGATGTTAAATTAGACTCTTTCCGGTAAGATATCCACCAACCATCGTCTGTATTATTTGCAAATAACAGATGCCCAAATAAAACAAAGAATCGGTATATTCCTTTCAGACCCCTTGTCCATTATAAGTGACCTAAACTTATGAACCTTTTCTTTCTCAGTAATTAATGGTGATTGCCTAGAGATTATTTTTGTACAATGCTCGATCTTCACGGAATGATTTATCGAACATAGATGTGATACTTGCTACATCTGAATAACAAACAGGAATGAAATGTGTAAGATTATAGATTTACACATTTTGATGGGTTGTTTAGGTTTACCTAGGCTAAGAATCTGCTCTGCACAAGTGTTAATTTAACATCAATATGAACGAACCTTTAGTGCATTGCAGTTGGATCATATTTTGTTCCCATGATAATTTTCCTACTTTCAGTTATGTATTTCCTAACGACTATAAGTTTTCAGTATCCTTTCTACGCTTCACAACGAAAAACAGCAACTTTCAAGAAGTTTGAAACCCTTTGGGATTTTTCTTCTGCCAATTCCACGTATCCCTGCACATTGCCATAACGTCCCTGGTGGCCTGCCAGCCGAGTTCGATTTTGGCTAGTGTGGCATCGGCGTAGCACTCTGCTATATCCCCGCCTCTTCTTTCTACGATATCATATTTTATTTGTTTTCCTGATGCTTCGGCGAATGCCTGGATCATTTCAAGGACAGAGTAACCGCGACCTGTTCCGAGATTGTAGGCTTTCCACGAATTAAAGCTAGCAGAATATATGTGATTTAGCGCTTTTAGATGGCCAATTGCGAGATCGGTTATGTGGATATAGTCTCTGACTCCTGTACCGTCTGGAGTTGGATAGTCGTTGCCAAATACTTGAAGTTTTTCACGGCGACCTACGGCTACCTAAAAAGATAAAAAATACACATAATGATAAGCAATAACCTAGGTTGAAATAAGCAATAATAATATTTAACCCTCGGTTAGTGTTCTGGGGTATACCATACCCCAGCCCTTTTATTTCTATAAAATCGAAAGTGGATGAAATAGCGCCTAGTAGCTGTAGTTTATACACGTTTTCTCACGAGGACCTTATTACCAGCTGTAAATACAATTTCAGTTTGAATTAGGAATTGGTCAAAGACGGCTGTGCTGTGTGATATCCCGGTACACTACTGTTGTTTTGTGTTCTAGAAGTAAATTTACATAATATTTGCTTTCAGCGATACTGAATTATAGATTAATTATGTCTTACGAACAAGAGCAGGAAAGGTTAAAACGTTTATGGGCGCAGTTTGGCAGTATTTCTGACGATGATAAATCGTTCATTGACAGTGAATCTGAGGAAGAACAAACCGCATTAGAAAGTCAAGAGGCAATCATATTGGAAGAAGGGACTCAAGGAGAGACAGCACACAAAAGGGAGGATTCTGAAGAAGTGGAGGCTGAAGAAGAAAGTGAATTTTCAAATGGTTCAGAAAGTAGTAGTGAGAATAATGGTAAGAGATACTTTTTAGATAAAGACAAATCAAAGTGGTTCAAGCTTCCAAAAAACAAACAAGTGAGAACAAGCTCGGACAATCTAATTACATATTTACCTGGTTTAAAAGGAATAGCACGAGAAAAGCAGAGTGTTCTTGTTTGTTGGTTGTTATTCTTACAGAAGGAATGTTAGATGACACTGTTGACTATACAAATGTATAATTGGCGACGAAAGTCCCACGGTACGATGCACGACATCAGTATTTAATCAAAGAGACTGACAAAATAGAAATCAAAGCTGTTATAGACCTGCTCTATTTGACGGTACTTTACAAGTCAAACCTTCAAATTATTTCAGATCTTTGGAATACTGATGGAAGTGGTATTAATCTCATTCGAACAACAATGTCACAACAAAGATTTTCCATTTTTTTGTAATGTTTGCGATTCGACAAAGTGCAAAATAGAGTAGAACGGAAACAGATTGACAAATTGGCAGCAATTAGAGGTATATTTGATCAACTCGTTGTCAACTGTAAGACACACTATATACCAAGTCAACATCTTACAATAGACGATGTAACGAAGTTCTCATCGTTGAACAGTTTGAACCGTGGAAGTGTCATGTTTGCGCATCCACTTCCTCAGCGAGATGACGAAGTGAGTGTGATTCGGAGCGGCTATTTAAGGCATGTGAGTAGCGAAATTAGTCAGTCTTGTAGCTAGCGCTCTAGGCTCCTCGATTCGCCGGTGTACTGAACCGGCGAGCCAACCCGGACAGAGATATTCCCGTATTGAGGATCATACTCTGTCCTTAACAAAGCAGAACCCATCGGTATTGTGTATTGAACTTTACCGTGGGGCCTGCACAGCCGAATTTGCGAGTGTGTTCGGAGCTCCCGCTGAATTGGAAGAGGAAGCGAGTATAAGTCTGCGTGCGATTAACTTCACCTATTTTATTTGTTTTGTTATTAATAATAACTTTTTCTTTCTTTTATAGACGTTCGTCGGTGATTCCTTCATCGCGGGATCCAGACGGGGACGAAGGATTCGTTTTGATACTGAGTCTGTCGTCCCGAAAGAGCTACCCGTTACAACGAAAAACTGGAATCGTTCAGGGGACGTATGTCATTTCTTCAATACATACCGAATAAGCCAGCGAAGTATGGCTTAAAAGTATTTGCGCTAGTGGATGCCTAAACTTACTACTGTATAAACATGGAAGTTTACGTCGGCCCACAGCCAGAACGACCTTTCCGACAAAGTAACAATCCGCAAAACATAGTTAAACTTTTGATTGGGTCAGTTTCTGGTACTAAACGTAATATTAATTTCGATAACTCGTTTATCAGTATCCGCTCATGATCAATCTACTTCAGACTCATCATCTTACATCGGTTGAGACAGTTAGGAAGAACAAAAGGCAAATTCCAACAGCACTTCTGAAATTATCGACTTTTCCAATTCAACCAAAGGCGATGTAGACAAATTGGATGAGCTATCTGCTAATTACAGCTTATCAAGAAAAATCTGACAATTCATAACAATTTCAAATTTAATACGGCTCGCAACGTCTAAAAGGTTGGACCACACTTAATTAGAACAAAGTATTATATAAAATATATTACGAACCTGGGCAATGTAAGGCATAAGATTGTTAGGAATTCCAGATGGATCTTCTCCAATAAGTCCAGATTCGTGAGCACCAACAGGATTAAAATATCTTAACAAAATTACTTTCCATTCCTAAAATGCAATATTTTAGTATTAGATTTAGAATCTTAAATTACTGTATTCGTCAAAATAAATAGTATTGAAAAAAACATTGTATTTATTTTTAAATTTACATAATTTATGTGTTCTTCAAAATGTGCACCATTACGGCGCAAACAAGACTCATAACGATTTAACAGATTATCCAACACGTTTATAAAGAGTAGATGTCCTAAACGTATGCATCAGGTGTTGTCAAATCAGGTGAGTGAGCTGGGTACTTAACGTCTGTACCACGAGAAATTACTGTTTTTAAAAAGTTCGCGAAGCAAGGCGTAAAGATGTATGGATGGTTGCACCATCCTGTTGAAACCATCGTCTATACAAATGCAGATTTAGTTCGCGGCAAAAATTTCGTAAATCTCTAAAAAAGATGTAATAATGTTCTATCTGTAACACCCTTGATTAATAATAACTGGGTTCTTATCATCAACAAAGTAAGGACCATCATCCCATACCCAGATACAGTACGCCAAATGGTAACTCGTTCACTGTGAAGTGGTTTCTCTACAATTAAATCGTGGCGTTCAAATCCAAGAAATTGAGCAGTTTGTCTCTTCATGTAACCGTTAAGGAAAATGTGACTTTCCTCTGAAATCCATACATATCTCAAGAAATCAGGATCTTCATAGACTAGATTCAACACTCATCTACAGTAAACTTCTCTTCCATGTTTGTTTGCAACGTTTAGTCATTTTCCAATTAAAATGCGGTAAGGATAACCACCACGAGATTTGAACAGTCGACGTGTGGATATTTCATTGAAATATGTCGAAGACTTCGTTTTGAAGACTGTAAGATCTTACCGAGAACGCGTCCTTGATTATTGTTGGTAAGAACTGTTTTTACACGACCGGAACCGCTCTTGCGCTGACGTAATCAGTTTTACGAAATTTCTCAACAAATACACTTTTACTAGGGCCATAGTAATATATGCAGAACTTCACAAAATTGTATCTTAATTGCAGATCGAGTAAACTATTGCAAAAGAGGCTTCGTATTTTCAAAAAGCTTGCCCAGGCCATTTCAATTCGGGCTCGGATTTCTACGTCCAGATTCAGACACTTCAGCCACTCAAGTCAGTCACTTAAACTTAATAACTTTGACTATCTCTGTATCGTATACATTTATGTGCACTGATTGATTTGGATTTATTTTTTGCGATCATAGCGAGTTTTAAACTCATCATATCTTTTTGCATCTGGTATTTTTGAATAGGGACAACTGTAGATTTTAGTAAATCCTTAGGTATATATCCACTGTTGTAAATAATGTTAAATAGTTTGTCTAAGATTTTTAAAGTCTCTTCGTCTATGAGTTTTAAGAACTCTGGATACATGTCGCCTGATCCAACCGCTTTAGTATTTTGTCTCTACCTCAGAACCTGACTATTTCTGACGTCATTATACTTGACATTACCATTTCTGTTTGATTTTGGTTACGAAAAGGGAACCTTTGTCGCAAAAAAGATCAGAAATATATTGTCAATTCCATAGTTCTTCTATTTCTTGTGTGTTTAGGACTGTTTTATTATGATATATTAATTTGGTATGTATTGGGGATATATGTTTTCCTATGATTTGCGTTTTATTGAGAGCTTTATAAACAAATTTTATTGTTTCAATTTCATTCAAGACATACATAAATAATCATAATAATAATCATACAAGCTGTCTTATTTACATATTGTACTTATTTACGAATCGTAGAATTTTTAAAACATTTTATGGAAATACAGAAACATTAATGTTTCGCTATAAAATATTTATAGTATCACGTTTATAGTTATGTATATTATTGCATAAAATTGCTGTTTTTATTTACGTGTACAAATATTCGCTTAAACTGATAAGATGTTTAATTATATTTAAACGTAAAAAAGTGCTACAAAAGTGGAGCATAGCTTGGTTGCAATTTTAAAGTAGAAGTATTATTTGTTTTCAAAACATCAAAAAACATTAGGTTTAGCAAGGGATTAAATATTTTTTATGTACACGGTGAGTTCTAAAGCATGTTTTATGAAAAGTTAAATAACCAACATATTACAGTTGGGATATGTTATTTAAAGTAAAAGAAGATATTTCATGCTAAAATTTAAATAGCACATGTGTGGAATTTTGAAAAAAACGTTTTTATTCGTAAAATCACCAAAATCGCCCATTTCACATTAGAACATGCTTAAAAATTCAATATTTTCTTTATCGCTACGGCAATAAAGTATTTCGCAGTAATGAAATTATTTGATAAAAGTTTCAAGCTCCTATGGAGCCAAAAATATGGCATTTTAAAGATTTTTTTTATTTTCAAGTTAAACGCCACTTTTATCCGATTTTTATCGATAACTGTAAATTCAATTAAATAATGTATGAATACTTATATGCAAATATTATTTATGTTTCGTATGATCGTAATGATTTATGTTTCTTGGTTTTTTTATAGGTAATTCTATTGTTCCAACATCGTCAAGAAAATTTATTTCGGATAAAAGATGCGATTCTTGTCTATCAATCATCAGAAGAGGTTTACTTACAACACAAATGTAACTCCTCCCAATTTGTGCTCAATGTTGCAAATATCTTGGATAAATGTAAATCAAAAACAAAAGAACATGTTATTTCTTCTTCCTTGTTAAAAAATCGAAATTAAATGATTCTAAGGGAAAAACTACTAATACTACGATGCTCTCAAATATTTGGGGAAAACCGACAAGTATAATTTTTAATCAAAATCACAATAAGAAATTTCTTTCTGCTAATGATTTTAATATGATTCAATGCGATTTATTACCATTAGCCAAATTTACTAAAAGAGGTGTGTTGAACTAGCGGAATAGCCATACTTATGCGACAGAAAATCCTCATGCATTTTAAGCTCATGCCTTTCATTTTCAACATGAGTTTTCCATAAATATCTGGTGTGGCATATTTGGGGATTGTATTGTAGGACCATTCGAATTACCAACTCGGCTTGACGGAGTAACTTATCTAAATTTTTTGAGAGAAGATTTACCAACTCTTTTAGAAGACATACCTCTAAATTTGAGACGTAACTGTTGGTACATGCATGATGGTGCACCACCACATTATAGCCTAGGAAGTTAGAAACTATCTGGATGAAATTTATCCTCAAAGGTGGATTGGTAGAGGTAGTGTATACCCATGGCCATCACGCAGTCCCGAACTAAATCCCCTAGTCTTTCACTAGGGGATTTAGTACCTACCTAAAGTTATTTGTTTATAAAAAAAATAACCGTCAAGAGTTATGGCGAAATATTGTAGAGGTAGGTAACGTAATTAGGGTCCAAAGAAACTCATTATTTAAAATAAGACAAAACTTATCCAAAAGATTTAGATTATGTAGTTTATCTAATGGTGAACATTTTGAACACTTATTGTAACCTTTTTCAGCTACTTACAACACTATAATGCACATATAAAGTTAATTCAAACGTAATTATTTGAATACAAAGTGATTTACATAGTTAGGTCCGTTTATTTCCATAAAATAAATTGGACCATTCAGGTACTCTTCTGGTGGCTACATATTTAGCCATACAGCGTTAAAGGGTTTTAAACTAAAATGATAGGTATATTTTCCTTTATCTAAGGTGTCTATAAAAATTAGGTTAAAGCATAGTTATCTATTTTTTTTCTGTTTATTCTATATTTTATTTTTAAATTTATAAGAGGTACTTACTAGTTCTAAGGTAAGCTTAGAAATTATTATATTATAATATTTTTTAGGCTAATTTTCGTAAAAAAATTGTTTGTCAAAATTTATTTGCTTATTTTCATAAAATCGCTTGTTTAAGTTTCTTTATGCTTTTAAAACGGAACTCTAATCATAATAGTTGAATAAACGAGAAATTAATGTATTTAGCGAAATTATCAAGAAGACCTGGCAGAACAAATAAAATATTGTAACATAAAAATTTATTGAAATAAATAAATCCTTGACTGCATTCGAGGTATTTACAAACATTTACATTGACGACCTTAATCGGCAATTTGTTTCTTTTTCTGATCAGATTAAATCATTCGCGTATTTCAATGACCTTTACCAAATTACTTTATCTACTTCTAAAAATACTACCAATGTTATTTGTTTTATACGTTTTTAGCAATAGAAAGGTTATCGTATTGGGATTTAATTTAAACTTTTATAAAGTTGGTAAATTCGACTGACTAATTTACAATTTTACGACACCTTTTTCGCCAATAACGCATTATTCTCAAGTGAATCAATATGGGTACTATCTGTTTTTAGAGATGTATAACTTAAGTTGACCACACCGTTTGTAATGGCAGACATTTTAAGAACGCAGTTGATTTGTGTTCAGTAGTCTTAGTTTTAGTCATTTCATCATGAATAGTCAGATGAACAACGCTACAAATTGTGCAGATTTACGCAATGACGATAATCGAGCACAGCAGTGAATATGCACAAAAGGAGATCGCTATTGATCCCGATTTTCACATAAAAATTCTGTTCAGAGACGAAGCTCATTATGCCTTAGTCCAGCGTTTCCCAATTGATGAGTCGCTACCAGGTATCGGGCCACAAAAGCAGCCACGCCGTTTTACATCTTGCATTTTAAGGTCGCGCTCTGACTGACGCCACAGCTTTTAATTTAACCTCCCTGCACTGCACTAATGCTTCTTTTATTCCATTCAGTTTAATCGTAGTATCAAGTCTGAGAACGCTTATTTTTCGTGCAAATTAATTACGTTGAATTTGACGATGGATAAATTTGTTATAAAACAAAGTACAAGTTCTAAGACTTGCACAAACATACCGTCGAGTAATCTGCAGCCGGGCATAAGTTCTAAGAGCAACAATAATAATAGACAGTCAAGTAATGTCCATCCAGAGGCAGGTACAAGCAGTAATTACAAATGGCTGCTCGATCCACAGTCTACAACTGTAACAAAAAAGAAGGAGTCCTGGACCCGACAATATTCCGAAGATTACTTACAGTTCGGTTTTATAAAGGGTATCGATTATGTGTTATTTGTTATGCTGCACTTTCAAATGAGTCAATGAAACCTTCAAAATTGAAGCGATACTTGGAATTAAAGCCCCAGGAATACAGCGGTAAGCCAATAGATTTTTTATAAATAAAAAGAGAATTAATAGCTACCAAAAAGACTATGTCTTTGAATTTTTCTCAGAGCGCTCAATCTGAAAACCTTGTACTGGCTTCTTATGAAATATCAAAATTAATTGCTGAAACCGATTATCCTTACACAATTGCCGAGAAATTAATAGTTCCAGCAATGAAAATAGTAGCATCTCGGATATGTGATCAAAAGCAGGAAAAGCAAGTGAATTCGCTGGTTCTATCGAATATCACAGTGAAGAGTAGGATTGTGGAGATGGTAGATAATATTGAAGAAACTATTATAGGTTGCTTAAAGGAGTGAACTATTTTTCCTTGCAAGTTGATAAAAGTAAAGACATCAGATAATGCTAATCTAATGTATTTTGTAAGATACAATGTTGAAAATACTACTTACGAAGAATTTCTGTTTTGTAAATCTCTGTCAACAAGAACAACGGTTGAAGAAATATTTAATCTGATTGATAGATACATTAATGACAATGGAATTGAATGGAATAAATGTGTGGGACTAAGTAGCGATAGAGCATGGGCAATGACAAGCGCTCGTACTGGAACCCTTTCCGAGGATCAAAGCCGTAGAACCAGAATGTGTTTGGGTGCGTTGTAGCATCCTCAAAGAGGCATTAGTTTTCAAAAAATGCCACTGCTTTTAACCGAATATATGCAAGAATGTTTCAAATTTAAGAACTTCATAAAATCTTGCCCACTAAATTCAAGAACTTTGCTTTGTGCAAAGAAATGAGAAGTGAACATAAACATCTTCTTTTACACTGCGAAGTGCGTTGGCTATCAAAAGATAATGTTTTAAAAATACTTATTGAATTGAAGAAAGACATTTCAATATTCTAACAACATCCACCAACGGCTAGGGAAGTAATATTTCAATTTAAAGACAGTTTGCATTATGTCAATTGGTTAATCAAGGTAGCCTATCTTTGTGATATTTTTGACTTCTTAAACAATTTAAATATGACATTACAAGGTAGCAATGTAACTGTATTTAAAGTACAAGAGAAGGTGGAAGCTGCAACAAAAAAACTTAATTTGTGGAGACGTCACGTGGAAGCAGGAAATTACAAAGGTTTCACAGAGCTAACAGAACTACAAAAAAAGTATAACGTGAATTCATTGCCGGATAAGATTTCAGCGGCTTTCAAGAAACACCTGCCAGCACTGGAGGCAAATCTGAAGGAATATTTTCAACCATCCACAGCAACAAAGCATGGATAAAGAATCCATTTACCATAGACGTAGAATCCGAGACACGACTTTCGGATTTAGATATTGAATCAGTAATTAAACTATCGTGTGAAAGGGCACTCAAAGACATATTTGACAAAATACCACTGATAGATTTTGACTGTCTTGTCGCCAGGAGTACCCAGATTTAGAAGAAAAAGCGATAAAGCTTCTAATTCATTTTGTTATGACCTATTGGGACCGTGCAAGTTCGGAACAGCGACACCTGGTGTCGTAAATCAGCAAAATTTACTGCGCTTTCATGTTAGATCGAGGTTACCGGATAACTGTCAAGGACGTAGCCCCAAAAAAGGATAAGAAAAAGTAAGATTGAGGTTATGTCGGTATGTTATTAAAAGGTAAACGTTGTATGTAGTCTAAATACAAATAAATATATTATTAAATTACAGCATTACTGCTAGTATATGGATGCAATAATAAAAACTGGATTTGAGAAAGTAAATCACCAAATAACTTTTCAAACAGGCACTGAGTCAAAGGGAGAAGCTTTAGTAGTGGCAAATGTCAAAAAAGAATGGAAGGATTATGTGGAAGAATTAAGAAAAATAAATTACCATAAATAATGCTAAGGCATAAATTAGCAGGTTAAGCCCATGATATCATCATATTGGTTTGAACAATTAATTCTTTTCCTGTAAACTTTTGGACGGCGAATATATCTTAATGCATCTTCAGAAAAACTTGACCTTGATGCATTTTTGTAAACTTCAAAAAAAAAAATAAAATTTAACCATTAAACTTGATTTTTGGGTTAAAATGAACTCATAAGTGAGTGTTATGAAACTAAAATTTACACTTAAAAGTGAACTTTTATTTATTATTTATTTCAAACTGACTTTAAAATCGGGCGCAAGAATAATGCATAATTTAGGTTATGTTACTTATGTTTTTTTATGATATAAATCCACTTTTCTCTTTGTAGTAGCTTTGTGCTTCGAAGTTGGAAACGAATAAAACTTAAATTGACAATTTTTTGTTGTATTTTTATAATTTATAACACAGCATTTCCTAAATCCCATTTTCTTCAGTGACAAAAGGTGTAGATAAACAAACGAATATGAAATATGACAACTGACAATATGAATTTATGAAATCTATGAAATGTGCAGTAAAAAATGCAAGATTTCTCCGCTACTCGCGCACGATCGTTTCTCGTATCCCCTCCAAGTACTTGCACGTCGCCAATAAGTGTGAGACATGGCTTTGAACACTAGTTTTCCTCAAAAGTAAATATAAGAAGCGTTTGGAAGTCGAACCGGATCTGAGGATAAAATCTAAAAAATTAGTGGGTTGCGAAGGATACACACAAAAATACCCGGGCCACGGAAAAATAAGTTTGGGAAATGCTGCCTTAATCGAATAAATTAAAGAAATCTTTGGTGAGGAAATAATTTTACATTTTAGACTTGTGAATCAGCATTCAAAATGGTGCGATTTAACACCACTAGAATATTTTTTTATGGAGGTATGTGATATCGCTAGTCTATGCTGATGGAACAGACGCGAATGGCGATTTTGACACTCGCCACCTTATTCCCACATTTATACGGTCCACATGCTGCAAAAAGTAATCAACAATTGGAAATCCCGATAGACTAATCTTACCGCAAATTAATTTATGTAAAAAGATTGCAATAAATAGAAATGTATGTCACAAAGTATATTCGTATTATATACAAAGTATTATTAAATACTTACCGGATCTGACGTGCATACGTCCTTCAGGACCTCTTCAACGAAATATTTTGATTTTCCGTAAGGGTTGGTACACCCTTGTCCAGTTGGATGGTTTTCAGTAATAGGCAAGAATTGTGGGTCACCATAAACAGTAGCTGACGATGAAAAAACGACTTTTTTGACACCATTAGCAGCCATAACCTGCAATAATTCAGGTGGTAAAAAACTTACAAAATTAAAATAGGTTTTATGCCCATAAAAGATGCACTATCTTCGCTTTATACCACAGTATGCCTTTTAAAATCTATGAAAACTGTAACATATTAACCAGTAAACATACTTACCTCAAAGAGTGTAGCGGATCCACCAACATTGTTGTGATAATATTTTAAAGGTATACTAACGGATTCCCCAACTGCCTTCAAGGCAGCAAAATGTATTACCGCATCGATTCTATGCTAAAATTTCAAGAAATCGAAGATACAAAATTAAAAAACCTGAAAACTACGTTGTTCTGAAAGAAACGTTTAATTCGGTGTGTTATGAGTTAGTAATTGTTAATTAAATGCGTTCGAAAGAAAAATCTGGAAATAATAGATTAAAATTATCTAAAAGCAAGTTTATAGCACTCGTAATTGGTTTTTAGTACAAAAACGTAAATGGACAACACAACAATTATGGGTTTTCTAATTAAAATGACCAAAAAACAAATTTATACAAAATATAATTGTATTCTGCAATTGCATGCAATATGAAATTGCGAAATGAGAAGTAAATATGTAAAACAGTAAAAATTCTTTATTCACTGGGTCTGTTAATCTCGATTTAAAGAAAGAAAAATATTACTGGGAGACTTTAATGACCGATACCCGTGAGCGAAATAGCGGATAAATAATTCTATAAAAGCTCAATGACATTTACATCCTTACCCGATGTCGGCCTGGATGGAAAATATTTAATAAAAAAGCTTAAGGTATCATCAAATAGCGAAAATCAGAGTTACTGAATCTAGGAATATACATATCCATCAAGGAATCAGACAGGACTGCGTGTTGTTACCTATGTTACTTAATTTATCCTGTTTCTTGAACTTAAAAACCAGATATCCCTCATAGCAGAAAATCTCGATTTCAGAAACTCGTGTTCTACTTGGAAGTTCATTTTAGCAGGACGCTCAACTGGGACATTGACATCAAAAACATCCTCAAATAAAACTCTCTTATATACCTACAAGACTTTCATCAGGTCAATCATCGAATACAAGGCGTGTGTCTATGGTCACTAAACAATCGCCAAACCAACGCTATTGGGGCAACAAAAAGGAAAATCCCCAGAAAGTGCATGAGGAAACGTGCAGATTATCCGTCAGCACTGATTCACCAAATTGCGAATCTACCATCAATAAAGTACAGAGTCCGTTCCCTCAGCAAAAGATACGTCCTCCAACAGGAGAACTAAGTAAAACTCTACGGACTCCTTGTCACCGCCGAGAGCATATACTCACCAGGTTCTCCCAAACAAAAATTCCATTCCCTCCAACCAAGCTTCTACACTTTGCTGGCAAGGAACTACCGGATGAGTATTACGACATCCCCAAAATTGATGAGTATTACGACATCCCCGAAACCCCCCTCAAATATCGCAGATAACATAACTGCACGCCAACAACGATGATTCAGAGTCATTTCTAGAATGGTTGGTAACACCGGAGGTATCTTCTGCTCATGGCTTGGTTGGCTAGTCTATATTCTCCCTCATAGCGCTCCTTTTCTACACTACCACTATCAAAACCCCCTCTCAAAAACTACTCGCAACTAACGTTGCTCGCCCCGCCCTCAAAAAAAGGAGCAGCTCCTTGAAGAAGAAGCTTAAGCAAGGCACTAACGTTCAGATTGATTGATTGAACTTAAATCCATGGACGGAAATAGTGATGTCATAAAACTAAATGGTGTCCAGTTATTCACTATTATAATATGGTGTTGATACTATACTTACAGAGGACTCAGAGATTTATCTAAAAATTATTTTAAGTGAAATGGAAAATACTTGAAATAATAACTACAAAAAGAAAATAGACCCATTCCTTATGTATGACTATAAACAGCAACTATTGGAAACAAGTTTACGAATATAACTATAGAATCCCGAATTGTAGATTGTAAATAGATAGTAGATATTCCCGAAGAACTGTAACTTGGATCTGAAAAAAGGACAAGACCAAATTTTTTTCTGTGATCCACATCTCGATTTACAGCTCAGATTAAAGTTGACAAAACTTTACATTTGGTCGACCTTCTTCTAGGAAATAGAAACGTGAATTCTGAAAATAGCAACTCTAAACAGAGAGTGGTTGGGAAGTAGATACTCGTATATCGAAGAATTATGAAAATATAGCAAAATAATGTCACGAGGCGGTTATTTATACATATTCCGGCATAGTTATGAAACATCCCTTGTAAATAAAGAATTTTTAATGTATACCTACTTTAAACTTTCATTACCTATCCGAACTATTTTATTTACAAAAGGTTTTCTGGACCCTGTCACATTTTATTCATTTGTTATGTAACCAAATATAAAACTACTAGACCCAATAATTTATCAAAAATATTCTTTGTCAAAATCGCCACATCATATTGTCATTTTGTTGTAGTTAGACCGGTCTTGATTCTAAACAAACCAAATTTCTTAAGCTGCGCTCACAGCAGTTCACTTTAAGGCTGTTTTATCGGTGCACCAAAACCTAGGGACAGTGTTTTCTCTGTTATTTACCGACAAAATGTCTCGAAATTTGGACACGTTATTCGAAATTCAGTTAACATTTCTAACTCTATTTCTTCTGCTAGCAGGTATTTTAACAATAATTGTTTACGCCCCAGTAAAAACGTACCTTTTAAACGACAAAGAAATATTTAAGATACGTTGTTGAGAAAATTAGAGCTGGTCTAAACCTTCAAGCAACTTTTTCCTCTGAAATCAATTACTTTTATTGACTTGTTTTTCCTTGAGATAGATTATTATAGAGATGTTAATAATTTATTGAACAAATCTATTTAAAATTCACAAAGGAAACTTAAAATGAACGGTTATGCCAATAGAATTAGTAATTTGATTTGTTTCGAATAAAGACTTCACAAAAATGGTTCAGGTTCAGTTTACCGAAAGTACAAGCTGAATATAGCCGCAAATGTCAAAAATATTTGGGGTTGGCGGTGTTGAGATGTCTTTATAATGCTTATGTTGTATGCTTCAAATATAAAGAGAGAAATCTTTTAAAAAGTACATTTTGATTATACTATTTTATGAACTCTGCAATTTTTAATTTATAAGAAGCAATAACGAGTAAATATTTGTCTCTTTCGAGATTAATTGCAAACATCTGTTGCAATCTGGCAACTGCTGATTTGACGATTGCCAAATCTATTCCCTAATATATCAAAGGGTAATTGCCAAAAAAAAATTTCTAATAATTACCTGCAATTAATCTCCAAAGAAACAAATACTTGCTCATTCTTATTTTATACAAATCAAAAATTTCAGAATTTATAACATAATATAAACAAAATATACTTTTATAAAGCTTTATCTTTTTATATTTGAAGCATACAGCATCTACATTATAAAAACATGCCAACACTGCTATACCAAAATTTTTTGTTCCATGTTTGACATTTGCGGCTATAATCAGCTTGTACTGTCGGTACACTCAACCAAAACATGGATGACTAACATCAACTCTGATGTGGTATTCATATGCCGCATTTACGATGCTCTCGATAGACAACAACAAACTAATTAATACATATTAGAACAAAAAATAGAAGTGACAAAATAAAAACAAAAACCATTCTAAACTTAGATTTTAATTTATTTCCCAGATTAGTCCAGTTAAAGGCATCCAAGAAATTAAAGCACACAATGATTTTAAAAATTATCATTTGATCCGTGTTTTGATTCTGTAGAGATAAAACAACGCGTAGCAAAGGCCAGGTCAGCTTTTATTAAAATTATTTCTATTTTTAAAAGTCGGGATATTCGTCTAAGGCGTCCCATAGAAGAACAATAATTATATTGCGAAGTATTGCGAATTGTGCAATATAACTAATCTTCTAGGGCTAATATTGAAGATTGTGCAATGATTGAACGAAAGTTTGAGAGAGCTTAATTTTTGTTGTGCCATATTTCTCCATTGAAATGTATAGGGTCAGTATTGAGCAATATTTTTTTAGTCTGTGTTTCATCTATATCGCATAAAATCGCCAGAAAAGCTTTCCAGGGGACAAGAACATAAGAATTCAAGGAGTACAGGGACACATTATGCGAAGAGATAAGGGTTAGCCTGATAAGTCTTACTGAAAACAAATGGCACAACAACATCAGAAAAGCAGAAAAACCCAAGGAAACGTATGGAAAATGCTGAAAGCCAAGCGAGGAGGAAAACAAAAGATGCCCCAAATCATAGACAACGAGGGAATACACTTCCCCCAAGAAGAATGGCAGCTACACACAGACAAAACCAGGACATGTCGGATGCACAAACAAAAGAAGAAGTCAACAACGAATACGCCAGGATCAAAAGAAGAAATGAGTTTTTAGTACAAGAAGAAGACTACATAAACTCAACAGAAGTCGACAAAATCATCAGGAAACTAAAAGGAAGCAGAGCACCAGGACCAGAAGAAGTACACAACATCTCCCTCAAGGAGCTACCAAAGAAGATCATAGTACAACTGTACTATATCTTCAAATACTGCTTGGAAAAAGTACACTTTCCAAGTAACTGGAAACACGCCAAGATAATTCCTATACTAAAACCTAGTAAAAATGGAAGAAGACCAGAAAGCTACAGGCCAATATCCCTCCTCGAAACAATTGGAAAAATCCTGGAAAAAATCATCTATAAAAGGCTAATGAAGCATGTAGAAAGAAGAAAGAATCATCCAAGAAGAACAATTCGGATTCAGAAAAGGAAGAAACTGCGAACTACAACTAGCAAGAGTCATCAGCGACACGAAGATAAGATTCAACAGAAGACAAAGGACAGGAATGACCATTCTGGACATAGGAAAAGCATACGACACGGTTTGGAAGAAGGCACTAATCTTCAAAATGGACAAAGCGATTACCATTTGTGATATACATGATATTGCAGGTCTAGGGACTGTCTAACAACAAAATGTCAGCTACTTAAAGTCTATACAGAGTGGGGATAAAGTATGGAACTAACTAACAATCTTTGAAATAAATAAGACGATATTCATGAAACTTTGTATGCAAATACAATGACACATCACGCATCTGACACCACATTTTTTTACTACTGAACTTCCGTTTCACCGTAAATACCATCAATGATTTAAATAGAACACCCTGTATATTTCTACAACATCATGTATAAAATCTACAACGTCAACTACACACTGAAGACTCAACAAGAGAAGTGTCAAATGCCATCCTA